AATGATCCTCAGATTTATAAACGTACACCAGTGTCAGATCCTAATCTAGAGGAAACATGCAGTATTTGATTTTCTTTCAGAATATTCTTTCCTGTACAAGTGATTCACATGCTGTAACCTTCACAGTGCATATGTGTAACACATGTCAGGGTTGTTTTTAAAAAGGTATTGGCTTTTGCTGATGAAAGACTTTAAAACATTTCCCTCAAACACATCTTTAAAACATATTATACATGCAAATAAAAGTATGGGCCTGCATGCACATGTGTGCATTCCTACCTCCAACCCACATTGGCCTTTTTCAGGAGGCCCCCTTGAACTTGAAAATATAAGACCTGTTTCTTCTTAGAGCCGTGGCTGCCAGGCCACAAATATGGGAAAGTGAAATTACCCATTTTTTCTCTCAGGTTTGGTTGAAGACAACCCAGTTTAGGGTTCACTTCTTCTTTAGATTGGGAGTATTGACCCTAGTCAGTTGGAGTCATAATTTCAAAACCCAAAGCCCTCAGCTAGAGATACAAAATTCTTCCAAAGAGTTCACAGCAGAGCTTCCCTGTAACATCACCGTCTCCCTGCCTTCAAAGCTTACCTTCTAAGCTAAGACAAATAAATGGCAACTTTTTATTTAAATTAGTAGAAGTAAAACGTCTTTGTGTTTTCCCTTGCTGAAAGTAGCTCCTGGTAGAGTTCTGGAATAAATGAAACCCAGGGGAAGTTACAGCAGCTTGTAGGTACGAAAGGAGAACTAAGGAGCTTCTAGGGGGGCGTGTGAAGACAGCAGGCAGGCGCACCCCCGAGCGCCTTGGAGAAGCGCGGAGCTAGGTGAGCGGGCCTGCAGGGCTCCGGGGAGCGGGCAGCAGGCAGCGGCCCGTGGGGGAGAGTGAAGGCGGCAGCTACCCCCCTGGTCTTCTGGCCTTCCTCGCGACAGACTCTCAACGGATCTCCCAGCTTTCCTCTCTTATTACGGTCTCGCAATGTTTAAGTGTTTACTCTAGCTCTGGGAGAAAATGATAATAATAAAAGGTTTTTGTTTCTTCTCAATTCAGCCCTATCAAAAATTTTAATAACAAGATGAGCCTGCGCAGGGATGGTACATGTTTTTTTAAGAACTTGATATTTATTGGGTTAGTTAAGCTTTTGTCAGACTTGGAACATGCAATACAATGAAGGAAAGAGATTAATTGTGTATAAGCTAAGGTGAGAAGACTATGAGTGAATAAATGGATACAATTAAGGGGAAACAAAAATATCAGGTGAGAGCATCAAATATTTTGTATTCTCAAATCATCAATATGATTTATAGAAATACAGTACCTAATTTTCCCTCTTATCCTAGACATCATTTATTTTAGAACTGTAATAATAATTTTTAAATACTGTTGATAGTTTGTTTTTTATCATGGCTGGTTTCTATCTTGGCATGATTTTTATAATTTCAACGTTCCTTACTGATCTGGATTTGGATCTTTTTTGGGGGTTTTTTTTTGCCATTTAAAAAAAATGTCCAAGTCAATGAAATGCTATACACATGAAAAGGGAATTAACCAAATGAGTTCATTTATATGACTATTATGGTATGTTACTAAGGAATAGATCCATGTAATACAGACAAAAGAACATAGGACTAAAGTCATGGTCAAATGTCACTTTGTATCTGTGTGACCCTTAACCAGTTTCTCAGCCTCAGTTTCCTCTTCTGCAAATGGAGAAATGATACAAGTGTTGTATATATTTCAATATTATTTCAGAATACAACAAGAATGAATATGTATTCATTTTTAAATTTGTGAAGTGCTATTCAGATATAAATAAATATTATACACACAAATAAAAACAAGCAGTATTTTAACTGTACATATAACCTATTAAACCAAGGGGTATAAGCCGCGCCCGGCTAGCTCAGTCGGTAGAGCATGAGACTCTTAAACCATGAGGTATCAAAATTATTTGTCACTTTTATCCAATAACATAGTGAAAATGTTAAAACAAAAATGGAATGTCCTTTCTGTTTGAAATACTGATATAGGTGTTAAATTCATCTTTATTATAATTGTTTGAAGAGATCATTTAGCAGGTATTTCATAGTTCATTCAAGAATACATGGAGCCTAGCTGGTGTGGTTTAGTGGTTGAGCACTGACCCATGAACCAGGAGGTCACAGTTCGATTCCCGGTCAGGGCACATGCCTGGGTTTTGGACTCAATCTCAGTAGGGGGTGTGCAGGAGGCAGCCGATCAGTGATTCTCTCTCATTATTGATGTTTCTATCTTTCTCTCCCTCTCCCTTCCTCTCTCTGAAATCAATAAAGACATATTTTTTTTTAAAAAAAGGAATACATGAAAACATTGAGATCACATGGTCCTTTGTCATCTTTAGAGACTAAGATCCCTTTGAAAATCTAATGAAAGCTGAGGATCTTCTCCCAGAAAAATATATGTATCTTATACAAACAGAATTTTGCAAGGAATTTTAAAGGTGTTTATATGATTGACATTTAGTAAGACTTTGGTGGGAAGGCTTCCTCCCTTTCAGATTTCTTGGTTTTCCAGACTATTACGGCCTTCTGATGTAGACTGTTATAAGAGTTGTTTTCCTGCCCACCTGAGCCTCCACCCATCCCTTGCTTTAGCTATATTCCGTCTAAGTTCTGTCTCCTAAACAGTCCTGATTCCCGTGTTCACGCTACCCTACCCTGCGGTTGCCATTCTCCACACTTTTCGTCAGTGCTCATTCCCAGGGGAGGCAGTACCGGAGGGAAGGGGGACATGGACCAGGCTAACAAATGTAAGAAGCAGGGGCTTTGGACAGAAATGGCAGTTGCAGGTGGCTCTGGTACCACCAGATGAGGTTGCAGCGAGGCTGAAACAGAGGTAAATAGTCTGAAAAACTAAACTGTTAAGATTTTCACTGATTTACAATTCTAACCCTACACCTTCAAATATTTGAAATTCTTTGTTACTGGGTCCATTTGTAAATAGCTCTTCATCGAGATCCTCTGTAATTTAACCATCCCCCACCTCTAATAATTTAATATGAAACTGACTTGTAAGATGTCAAGGACTATAACAGTGTACGAGGTTATCGTGCTGGATTAAAATACGATTTGATGTGATGTAAAGAAAAGTTGCACAATATCACATCTGTTGTATGAAATGTCAGCCAGGTAGATGAACAGGCCAAAGTCAATGTAACAACTGAATATTCCTCCAGGTTCACAGAATTTTAATCCCCAGATTTTCTACTTTTGCTACTAAATCCTCAACCTATTCAACACTTAATTTTATATCATTTCACAGACAGTCCTCAATATTTAGTGTCTTCAGACACCGCTACCGTAAATAAGTTGGCATATGTTAACAACCACCACAACAAAATCCAGGGTAGATATTTTAAAATGCAGACACATTCTTAGAATACCAGAAGTGCATGTTCTTATTCTGTAACTTCAGCAACAATCGCCCTAGATCTCCAAAAGTGTTACTGTTTAGAAAATGAGAGTAAGGACATGCAAGTTTTTCATGAGCCAGGTGGAGCCACTGTTGTGGAATTTTGCTTTTTATTATCTAATGTTGGTTTTAAATTTTTATATTCCAGTGCCAACATGATCCAATGAGAGTCTATTTTTAAAATAAAATCTAGAAGAAGGTAGCAAACTACTTAATAATGAATGTGAAGAATTGAGTTAGAGTATTATTTTATGCTTTTAAAAATATTATTGGTATTGCAAGGTGAATTTTTGCGGCAATATTATATGTTGATAACCGACATTGATTTTAAAATTTCCACATTATATAAGCAGAAAACACCAGGAACAAAGATTTAAGGTGCAGAAATACTGCTGAGGTGGCATTAATGTGCATTAGATTCCTTTTAGGTAGTGTTCAGTTGAAGGGGATGTGCATATGCAGTGTTTAAAGAAATTTAAAAGCGAGAGAGACATTTTTAATTCAGGATGCCACCAGGCATTGTTTGGTATCATAAGCATAGCTTGCAACATTCTCGGTATGAGCTTTCATCACCATTTAGAATTCTCCCTTTCTTAATGTGGTACTGTATTTTTGATATACAATTTATAGAAATTAACAGTAAACGATAGAGAAATCACTTTTTTTAGAGGGCAGAAAAAACATTTGATGCAAGCAAATAGCGCATGCAATGAAATTCAAAGCTACTACTTATGGTATTTTTTATTATAATTTTTTATTAAGTTTTCTTCCATTTGTTGTGTGAAATCAGAGTCATTGGTGTTAGTAGATTAAAACCTTTTATGATTATTTTAATCTAGAATTATTATTTTCAGTTTCTTTATCTTGTAGACCACTAATGAATTCTTCAGTTTCTTCAAGTGGCTCTTTTTCAAATTTTAGAACCATTTAATTTTCTAGAAATAACATTCTGCAGAAAGAAGTTAAAGTGAATAGTTTGTCGACATAAAGACATATATTAGAAAGCAAATTTATATTGATAGGCTTTGACAAGAAAGATCTTTGTGGGCATTTGAAAAACACCAAGGAATTGCTAGGCCATGGTGAAGAGCAGGCTAGATAAATAAAAGTCACAGCAAGATCTTCTGTTCTTATGTGCCATCTTCTGAAAATTAATACGAGTTAGTCCTAAGTAACAGTGAGTTACAGGCACTAACTTCCCCAGACCCCTGAAACAGGAAGTGGTAGAAGAGAGGGTAAAAGAAGCCCTCAGGGAACCCTCCTTTTTCCCCCTGGGATCCCTTTAATCCTTGAATTGTCAAACCACCTGGAAATTATAGAGCTGTGTAGTTCTAAGACTTAAGTGGAATTATCTTTTTAAAAGAAAATATTGGGCCTTTTTACATCTCTGGACAAGAATAGGACATGTGTTCAGTGCAGAAAAGAGCAACTTAGAACAAGAGACACGTATTGCTTTTTCAATTTTTAATATAATATTATTATCTATGACTAAGCAGGCTGCACCCAGTAGAAGAATATTATAGCCAATATTTTATTTCCCTTTTTTTGAAACAGATGATTCAACGAGAAGCAGATGTAAAAAGTAAGGTGACTGCTGTGGCGTTGACAGACTCTGTTCACAATGTGTGGCATCAAGACGCTGGCAAAACGATTCGAGAATGGATGAGAGAGGTGAGACTGGGTTTTTTTCAATGCTGAGATGAATGAGCATGAGCCTTTATATCTTGATCCCCCTCCAACTTATGTCACCTCCCACCCTCAAACTCCCTTTCTAGAGGCAGAACATTTATAGGGAATAGGAGAGAAAAAAAACAACTAGACATATTTGAAATAATAAGAGAAAACCCTCCTGAAGGACAAGTACTTTGAAAGCCCTCTTCCCTTTTTTGACTTTCTATAGAATATTATGTATGCATACAATATCCAGTAGGAACTTTGGCTGAAGAAGGTCAGGATCTGTTAAGAGATTATTATTCCCTGATATTTAAATTTTCCACTAGTTATTTAGCACTGATGCTGCATAATTACAGGAAAGAAACTTAACTGTACACTGGGTCTCCTCCTTCCTTGAAAGGCGGTCAGCAGTGCCACTCTTAAATGGATTGGCTCACTACTGCCAGTAGGGGGAGGAGAGGTAAAATGCTAAAATAGTGTTTTGCCAGACTCTTGAGCTAGAAGAAACCCAGGGGCTGGTCATGGTCCAGCCTTGGGTTAAGAAAACCTCTTGTCACACTATTTAAGGGCTAGTGAACCTGAAACTTACAGGGACTCATTGAACATGCTCCCATTTAAAAAAAGCAAAAAACTTTCAGCCCATTATTTCTTTTATTCCTATTACAGATAAACCACTGAAGTTTATATTTACCTTTCTGATATTTTGAGCAATTAACATCAGCTACGTCATGCTATAGCAGTTGTTTAGTCAAATCACATACATGAATGAGCTAGTTGACCTTCCTGATTTTATCCCAGTTTTTGTTAATAGAATATCTGGGCATTTATTTGGCTGACTTCTCACCATAGCTATGGTGGGTAACGTCTACCAGCCCTCACAGTGCACTGTAAGGACCAGAGAGTTAACATTTGAGGAGTTTCAAATAATACGACTAGGCTATATATATAATCCCATAGTGGTGTTTGCATAGTACCACCAATCTGTTTGTTTACACAGTTGTTGTCACTACCCATTAGAAAATTACTTTTATCATAAAAAGTCCAAAATAGTTTTACCCCATTCCTCATAATGCTATAAACATATAAAGGTGGATTTTTCATCTATTCTAATACCCAGGTGTTTTCTGACCACATTGCTTTTCATATTTCTTCTTTTACAATGTATCTGCCCCCTTAATCCTTAATCATCTCTTCCAAGGGCTTGAACTTTTTCTAGAGAAATTTTATGTATTTCATGCTGTTCCTTTTTTGTGTGTGCTATTTATCTGTCCAAATGGAGACATGGACAGCTTCTCGAATTATATAAGTAGCAGGGTTAATAATGGACTGTTAGTACCTTTCCCCTCACACGTAACCAATGTGGAATTTAGGACCTGTTCCAAACTAGAAGCATCCTGTTCATCATTTTAATTGAGCATTCTCTGTGTCTCATTCTAGGTGACAAATACAACACAATTTTTTTTAGATTTACTTTAAGACTGAATTAGGTGCCCCCTTCAAAAATCAGAATATATTCTGTACATTTTCCATCTGACTGAAATAGGCAGTAGTTAAAAGCATCTTAATTTAATCAAAACTGCCTTTTTTTTTCTTGCTACTAGCTTTTATAAAATTTTTTAAATGTTATAAAATTTTACAAATGACCTATATCTTGAATAGTTCTTTCCACTCCCTTGATTATGCCTTGGGCATGAAGCAGCATGAAGAGCTTTGCATTGTGACATACCAAAATTCAAACCCCAGCTCAGTCACCCAAGTGACTGTCATCCTGGGCAAGTTGTTTAATATCTTTGAGATTCAGTTTTCTTATCTATAAAATATAATACCTACCTTGCAAACATGGTTGGTAAAGAAATTGAACAGTGTAAAGAAATAGCACATGTGTAAAGAAATAGCACAGTTGTTGGCACTTTAAAGAAGTTAAATAAGCACAGTTATTATTGTTATTACCTTCTCACCCCCAAATAATATAAAATACATGAACTGTATTTTTCTTTTGATTTATGAATGATTTTCCTATTCAAAATATCTTGCAAAAGAGATGAACACGGAATTAGGAGAACTGAGTTTTGATAATGATTCTGGCTTAGTCACTCACTAGGTAAATCAATAATTAAGGATCAAGCATGTACCAAGTACTTTGCTGAGACTTACAGTCTTGGGAAAGCCAGTTTATCTTTTTCTGGACCTAGTTCATAATTGTGAATTAGAGATCATAATTCCTATTCCATCTATTTCCCGGACTATTTTAAGAATCAATGATGATGACCAAGAAGAAAACCCCTTGAAAAGCAAGTGGTTCTATATAAAGAAATGCAATGTATTATTATAGAACATAACTATAATATCCCAGAGATAAAACTTATTATAGTTGATGGAGCTTTGAAATTATCCCTGCTCAGAGCTTTCCCCAAAACAAGAACAAAAAAGGAAACTATAGAGGACTGTCCCAGATGTCCTTTTAAGAACTCACTAAATGGGGGCACCCCCACCTGCACCCCTTGTAGAGAATTTACCTGATTTGACAAGATAAGAGTCCAGTGTTTTCCAACACTTAGGATGAAACTCCATCTCCTCTTCTTCAACCTTTTTAAGCCCTGTCCATTCTGCAAGACCCCTTGAAATAATGAAGACTAACAAGCCTGAGGTCAGTAAATAGAAAGGACTGTTGAGCATAGATGTTGGGAACAGCGTGGTGGAGTAACCTTTGCATCCCTGATCGTCCCCTTCCTCCACACCTCCTGCTCTAGCCTCATTTGGAATCAGCTCAAAAACTGAGATAGCTTTCAAATATCCCGCCCAAGAAAAACACCTTAACTAAGCTGAACTGAAATGTCACTAAAATTAGGAGTCTAGTTATAGATGAAGCAGAAGTGCTTTCTGCCTCTTGATGACTGGCTCATTTCACCAAACACTGCTTAAAATTGGGAAGCAGGACAGTGGTGCAAGTTGCTTACTCATTTCTGTTATACTGCAAATTAGTAAAAACTTTTTTTGTTTTATAAGCCAGTTTAAATGAATAAAATTATTGACGTTAAGTATTTGTTTACTATTAAAAAGCTGATTTTTTAATCCTCTCCATTAGCATACAGAAAGAATGTTAAGTACTGTATTTTTGTATTACTTGTATAATTGTAAAATAACAATTTCTTTTAAAGAAAGAAGGTCAGAGAGGGCTACTTTTGGCAATTACTCCAAGGGAAATCTACTCCCAACCAAAAGACTAAGCATACATACTAAGCCAGCCTCCTGAAAAGAGGCGAAAAGTGACCAAAGGCAGCTCCTAGGAGACACTTCTCACCCAGGCTCCAGGACTGTAAAGGCTGAGTGGGCAAGGATGACCTGGAGGCTATTATGTTGTTATGTCAAGTGAAATAAGCCAGACACAGAAAGGAAAATTCTCCATGATCTGACATATATGTGGAATCTAAAAAAGGTCGAACACACAGAAGCAGAGAGTAGGCCAGTGACCACCAGTGGCAGGGAGGCGGGGAAATGGGGAGATGGTGGGCAAAGAGTACAAAGTTGCAGTTATGTAGGTTGCATAAGTCTAGAGGCCCGATGGTCCGGCATGATGACCATACTTAATAATATTGGACTGAGCCCTGGAAATTTGCTAAGAATAGATTTCAGTTTTTCTCACCACACACACACACAAATGGTATCTATGTGAGAAGATATGTTAATTAGCTTGACTATAGTAATCATTTTACTGTGTATATGTATATCACACATCATGTTATATCCCTTAAATGTATAGCTTTTGTCTTAAGAAATAAAAATAAAAATAAAAAAGGCTGAGTGGGCAGATGTCCTTTCCTGGCATAGCCCTAGCTTCTGAAAGTCTCCGGCCAAGCGGGATGTGTGGTTCTACCTATCCGTCGGGAACCCTTACCTGTCACCGTGCAGCTGTGTGTCAGCGCTGGAAACTCATCCTGGTGAACTGTAGTTGTTCTTGTCTGAGGAGACAGTACCTGCCACATTAAAGGCCGGTGTCTAAGGCGTCGGTTATTTATAACTCAGACAAATGAAATAAAATTGAGAAAAATCCTAAACTCAGCCAGGGCAACGGGCATCTCCAATTCTCCCAAATGCCTTGCATAGGAATACCTACTGCCCACTTTCTCTTTAAACATAATATGCTAAACTCTAACCTTCTATAAACATTTTAATTCATTTCATATCTACACTAAAATATTGTCAGCCCTTTGTTTAAAATGTCAAAGAGAGTCACTTGGTAGTGTGGCCTAAAGGCGCTTGAATCTAGCTTGATACTGCCCGAGCTTTTAGATTTCACAAAGAAGACAATGTACAACCTCCAAAGCCCGGAAGATCATCGTTTCAGAGTAAAAGCCCTTTACATTGACAACACTTAACTTTAAGAAACGCTCACTTATAGTAGCTGTTTTTCTCTTTTTCGCTCAGCCCCGGAAACCCTGGTTGCATGACCGGCGCCCG